CTTTTTGAATTATGCTTGATAGTCTATTTATACCATATATTAGGGCCCTTAAATTTGACCCTAAATTTTCCTTGAGGAACTGTATAGTTCTAGGTTTCACATTTAGGTCTTTGATCCATCTGGAGTTCGTTTTTGTGGCCACAACTGATTTTTACAACTTTGACTTGCTAATATTAATTAATCATTTCAGTTAATTATTTTGACATGGTTATTCATAACTGGTAACAGTTACATTTTTTGAATGTGCATCATTTGGCTGCCCAGATACCAGTGTTTCCATTTGTAAGTGATTCTAAAAGGGTAAGTAACTGAATGAATGGATTATTGGTTTGGCTATCAAATAAGACTCAATATTCATAGATCTGTTTCTGCAGGAGAGGAAAGTAGTTACTAGGTGCATTTGATCACTTTGGATGATCAGTCAGATTCCTCAAATCAATAGTCAGTGCAGTTTTGTTTTATTTTTAAGCAGAATATTATTTAGGTAATTGCCCCTGCTTTGTATTCATCTTTATAGGAAGAATCTCAATGGTTTAAATGTTTGTGAGGTTCAATTAATGCTGCTTTTTTAAAAAATTGGATTTAGGCTATTTTGGTTAATTCTTGCTGTGCTAACAGAAAATACCACAAATGGGTGACTTTAACAAATAGGCGTTTATTCTCTTACAGTTTTGGAGGCTAGAAGTCCAAGTTCAAATTGCCAGGTTTTAGGGGCTGGGTGAAAAAGCTCCTTGACCTTGGGCTTCAGCTCTGCCTCCTGCTCCTGGCCCATGGAGCTGGAGGCTTTTTTCACTCAGGCAGATGGTGGCTGCTGAGGCTGACAAACCCAAGGTCAACAAGTAAAAAGTCACAGTCCCAATATCACCAAACCACATGGCAGGCCATTGATTTAAGTCAATTGAAAGTCCCAAGATCAGCAGACAACATGGCAGGCTGCTGAATAACAACTCAGCTACATGCAGAATTCAAGCGTGCCAAAAGCTGTAGACCATTTCTAAAGCTTCTTCTTACATACTGGGAACAGACCACATCTCTAAAGCAGCTGCTCACAGTAGATTCCACTGTGGAGCTGATCACCAGTCTCATCATGGGGAATACTGCAATCAGCTTTTCAGCCACTCAAAACCAGGCCCAGCCAAGTTGACACATAACTGACAAAGTATCAGGTGAAACTATGAGTTACCTTACAGTTAGGTGATTCTCCTCATTACTAGTTATGTATATGAGGTGCCTCTCCAATAGGATTACATCTCTGCCCTTGCCAATACTTGACTCAGTATCTTAAAGGTAAACCATACTTCATTAAACCTAAGACAATATCAATTATGACACATCATTTTTTAATATATACCACTAAGAAAAAGAAAAACACTTAACCTATGACACATCATCCACTGGTTATAAGACATGTTCTTATTTCAGAGCTGTCAAAGTGTGAAAAATTATACTTATTAAAATTAATGAACTATGAAAATAGGTATTTAAAGGTTGGGGAGGCAGTGTTTCATGGTGGTTCAGAACAGGGGCTCAGGTCTCCATACTGCTATTTACTCTCAGTGTGATCTCTTGCAATGGTTGCTGCTTTTTTAATTTCGAGTTACACACATCTAATTCATCTGGCTGAAGAAAAAGGTATCTTTTAGATTATTTGCCTGTTTTCAAGAGTTGTTAGTTTCAGGCATGGCTGGATCCAGATGTTCCAGATGATATCATTAGCACCTAGTCTCACTCTCTCCATCTGTCAGCTTGCTTTTCCAGATTGGCTTCTTTCTCAGGGAGCATCTCCCCTGTGATGTCAGGATAGTTGTCAACAGCTCCAGGCTTTTAACTTAACTTCTTAGGAGTACAAACAAGAGCTTCTCTTTGCTAACATATAAAGAACCATCTCAAGCTGACCCTTACTAGCCTGAATTGTTTTAGGACCCCATCTTGAGTATTGGCAAGGACTGAGTCACAGTTCACTTTTAGTGGGGAAGACATAGTTTCGCAACGAAAGTCAGGATCCATTTACCAAAAGATATTGGAATGGATGCTGGACAGGTGAAGTTGCACATATCCATCACATTTGGGCATGCTACTTAACCTTTCTAAGCTTTTGTTTTCTCATCTGCAAAGTATCTACTTCATACAGTAGTTGTGAAAAGTTAAGTAAAACAATGAATTTAAAGTGCTTAATACAGTGCCTGCTATGTGGTGTGGCTGAAAAATGTTAGCTATTGCCATTGCCATCTTTCAAATAAATTATCTGGTTAATGCAGGCAAGTATTTTAGTTATAGTGAAATTATTACTATGAAATATGTTATTTAAATAGAAATATAGAGACTTTAATGCATATTACAGATTAATGATAACTTAGCTTGATTTTACTTCATAAGTTTTGCTTTGTTTCTGATTGCTTTCATACCAAATGGCTGCCAGTAATATTGGGGAAAAACAACAACAATAAACAAACAACAACAAATCCCCCACAAACTCCTATCCTTTTTACATGAATGCAAATATAAGACACCCTGGGTCTGCCTATGGCACCAAGGGCTGTGGTTTACTTGTCTGGTGCCAGTGTGATGGCCTGGGGTTGTATCCATCAACACTTCTGCCATGTACATGTTATGGGGTGAGAAGTGACTGTTTTTTACTGCATGGTCCTGTCCATCCCTGTATCTCAGCACCCTTATTTTCTAGTGCTTTCCCTCCAGGGGAGCAGGGTCTCTGTGCTCATGTGTGGCCCTCTCATTGTCTCTTCTCCAGCAGGACCCTCTCCTTCCCCACAAATACAGTTTAGTGCACAACTGATG